AAAGAAAGAAAGAAAATTACTATGGGTAATTTTCCCAGCAAGCCTGCCTGAAGTGGGGCTTCAGAATGATATTATACATTCTAATTCTTAATTAGTGCGACGGCTTCCTCCCTTTTATCCTGTGAGCCATTGTACCTGGCCTGGATTTCAGTCTTTCCATTGATAAAACAACAAACTGCCTTAGACACTATTTCAGTCCTACCATAGTACTCTTAAGACCCCAGGAACTTTCGTTTTCTTGTGCCTTTTCCAGGACCAGTCTACTTTTCTGTATTGTTTGGAGTTAAAGTCTAAGATTCTCACAACCAAGAGTAAGCAAATAAAGAGGAAATGGCAGAATACGTCTGAATTTACCCAGCTGTGTTTTTTATTAGAAAGACCATTTCTAGTCAGGATTTCAGAGCTTTAGAAAACTCTGTGGTGGGTCACGCCTATAATTCTAGCACTGGCATGGTGGCTCACGCCTACAATCCTAGCACTATAGGAGGCTGAGGCAGGTGGATTGCCTGAGTTCAGGAATTTGATGAGCCTGAGCAAGAGCTGGACCTGGTCTTTAAAAATGGCCAGCTGGGGGAATGGGCACCTGTAGCTCATAGTCCCAACTACTCCTTGAGCTCAGGAGTTCTAGACCAGCCTGAGCAAGAGGGAGAACCTATCTCTACTAAAAGAAAAGAAAAATAAGCTGGGTATTGGTGGCAGGTGCCTGTAGTCCCAGCTACTAAGGAGACTGAGGCAAGAGAATCGCTTGTGCCAGCCTGTGTGAGCAAGGCTGACCCACAGCGCTCTAGCCTGGGGCAGCAGAGTGAGACTCTGTCTCAGAAAAAGCAAAAAAAAAAAGAAAAAGAAAACTGTTGTAATATGATATGCTTTACACTCTTCCTTAGACCAAAATCACAACTTGAATGCCCTTAATGAAATAAATGTGTTTTGTAATTTGTAAACGTAACTCAGAATTCTGTATCTGAGTCAGGTCATTTGTGGTCAGTCATTCAGACTGCATTTCTATTTGACAAGCATTTATTTTAAGATTGTTTTATGGAGCAGTTGTTTAACATTCAAGTGATCTATTAGCATCAAGTCTTTGTTAGACCTGTTTAAATAAGCTTGGCTGTTAAGTAGAAAACCAAATAGAAATTTAGGTTTCAAACCTAACTTAGCAAAATCAATATAACTTAAATTTTATCTTCACATATGTTTAACTTATTTTTCTTCAATATTCATTTAGAATAATAATTATGTAAACAAATTTTTTTTACCTCTTCTTGATATTATTACTTAAGAACAATTAAATTAACTGGCTCAAACAAGAAAACTTTACAGTAAGCTAAGCTAAATGGATTCTTTAGTAAGTTGTTAATTAGTAAAATCTTAGTAAAATCACAAATGTATAGAGAAAATAAGATCTGCTTCTGTCACTTTATTTCTGGAATGGTAAAAGAGGCCAGGTGTCGTAGCTCACACCTGTAATCCTAGCACTCTGGGAAGCTGAGGCAGGAGGATCGCTTAAGCTCATGAGTTCCAGACCAGTCTAGGCAAGAATGAGACCCTATATCTACTAAAAATGAAAAACAGGCAAGAGGATTGCTTGAGGCCAAGAGTTAGAGGTTACTCTGAGCTATGATGCCATAGCACTGTATGCAGGACAAGAGGGTGAAACTCTTTCTCAAAAAAAAAAAAAACATTAAAAGAAACGTTCTGGGCAGCGCCTGTGGCTCAGTGAGTAGAGCACTAGCCCCATATACCAAGGGTGGCAGGTTCGAACCTAGCCCCAGCCAAACTGCAACAAAAAAATAGCCAGGCATTGTGGTAGGCACCTGTAATCCCAGCTACTCAGGAAGCTGAGGCAAGAGAATCGCATAAGCCCAAGAGCTGGAGGTCGCTGTGAGTTGTGACAGTACGGCACTCTACTGAGGGCAACAAAGTGAGGCTCTGTTTCTAAAAAAAGAAAAAAAGAAATATTCTACAGAGTAAGTTCACATTAAGACATTAACTCCAACATTATTTTTTTTACAGGCTAAATATATATTATAACTTCATTTGGTTATTTCATTTGGGTGTGGGTCAGTTAAATGGAAGCCAAAGATAATTTAGGTAAATAGCTAAACTGTGCTTTAGAATGATTTTATACATTCTATTCTTAATTAGTGCCACAACTTGCTCTTTTTTCCTGCAGTCTGGATTGTCACAACTATAACTAGGAAGGTCATTCCTTCCTATTTAACACATATAACCATCATCAACAAGGTTTTCTGCCCCTTCCCTTTTATGTTCTAGGTGCTCCATCCTTGCTTGCAGTGCTTATGTGGCTCTGGCTTTGGGTGATAACCTTATGGCTTTGAACCATGCAGATAAACTTCTCCAGCAGCCAAAGCTATCAGGATCTCTTAAGTAAGTGCGACTCTGTATCCCTGGTTTGTCTTGAGGTTTCCAATTGGTCTGTAGTATGTATTGCTTCTTTTTATTCCTCCAGTAGAATATATATATTGGTGGGGAAAGCAACTGGTTAAAAAAACTTCCTTTTTTTTTTTTAAACAAGCGTCTTCACTTATTCACCCAGAGTAGAGTGCTATGGTATCATACTTAACAGCAACCTCAAACTCTTGAGTTCACAGGATCCTTTTGGTTCAGTCTCCCTAGTAACTGGGATTACAGGCACCTGCCACAATGCCTGGCTAGTTTTTCTATTTTTACTAGAGACAGGGTCACACTGTTACTAAAGCTGGTGTCAAACTCCAGAGCTCAAGTAAACTACCCTCCTTGGCCTTCTAGAGTGCTAGGATTATAGGCGTGAGCCACGCTGCCCAGCTAAAAAAAATTTCTTTAGTGGGATTGGCTGGCACCTATAGCACAGTGGTTATGGTGCCAGCCACATACACCAAAGGTGGCAGTTCAAACCTGGCCCAGGCCAGCTAAACAACTGCAACCAAAAAGTAGCTAGGTGTTATGGTGGTCTCCTGTAGTCCCAGCTACTTGGGAGGCTGAGGCAAGAGAATTGCTTAAGCCCAAGAGTTTGAGGTTGCTGTGAGCTGTGACATCACAGCGCTCTACGGAGGGTAACAAAGTTAAGAGTCTGTCTCAAGGAAAAAAAAAAAAAGACAGCGAAAAGGGAGGAGGGACAGAAAATAGAAACATAATTAAGGCTTGGCTAGCAACATCTTGGATACAGTGTCATTAAAAGTAAAGCATGCTTCTATAAATTAATGAATGCAAGCTTTGAAAAAAAATTGTTTTCAAGAAAAAAACGAATGTGC